AAGCGTCTAAACGAAGTAGAAGGTCCAGAAATAAACAACTATTCCACCACCCAAGAAGCAGAGAACTGAAGAGAGAGACCTAGCCCTTCTACAACCCGGACGTCGGTATCAAAAAGAAAAAATAATTTCAAACTCCAGCGTTTAAGAAAACAAAAATACAGATGCCAACCGGGTAAAGAAAAACTGTGGTAAGAGAGGAAAACACCATCTACAAAGGATAGCAGTAGAAAATTACACATCAAGGAGAAACGCGCACAGGGCCAGAGAGTCAGGTGCAAAGCAAGGCCGCCGTTCCGGAAACTGAAACCCAACAGGAGGCACAAAAATACGACCAACAGAAGAAATTCAAGAAGGACTCCAGACCGGAGGACGTCAAGACCAGCCGTCCCAGGGAAAAACGAAAAGGACAACAACCCGAAGATTACTCCGCCAAGAGGCCAGCATGTAGAGGACGCAAAAGAAAGATCAACGTGGACGACACTCGGAGGATCAATAAGGAGAAGATTGACATCCATGAAACCTCTAACTTGGGGCAATATTGCCAAAAAACGATGACGGAGTTTCAAGCATCGAAAACTCAAAGATAAGTTAAAACCTCTATAAATTTTTTTCTCTTTTGTTCCGAAATGGTATGCATAAGTACGAAGTTCTATGTTTTGACGAAAGTCAATATGTCTCGGTTGAGACTTAGTTTTGTTTTACTTTATTTAGCTAAGGCAAAAGTATTATTTTCTTTAAGTGTAAAAGCTAAAAACAAGCAGTTTCTGTTGGTCGAAAGACTAATTCTGTTATGTTAAAGCCAAAATTTGGCCGAAGATAAAAATAACTTCGTATTCTTGTATTAATAAGAATTTTAGTTTCAGTGCCGCCAGCTTGGCGAAGAATGAGTAAAGTAAAAATTTATTTTCTCTTATTCATTTTATGGTAAATTGTAAAAAAAAATATGTATTAAAAATTTGTAAATGTACGTAAATACTTGAATGTTATGTAAAAGTAGAATTTAGTCTAGAAGCATAAAATTTTAGATGCTAAAAGTAAATGCTCAAAAGCAATGAATTCAAAATTTAAGTATTAAACTGTAGATAAAGTCATGCTTTAGAGCGAAAGCCTGCATGTTAAAGATGAATGAGGGGGAAGTTAGAATGAATGTGTTTTTGTAGGGTTCTCCACCTACATTTGAATTTTAAGACTATTAAAGTAGCTCATGGAGTTTGTAGAATGTCGAGTAAGGTGTGTCTATTTGGTCGTTGAATTCTAACAAATCATGGTGGTTAGGGGAAGTGTTGTAAGACTAAAACACGAATATTCCCGTTTGACACCACACATGGTGGAGAGCCAGGGTAAAGTTAAATTAATGTTTGAAAAATTGAATGAATGTGAATTAAGCAATATCTAAGGAAAAACGAATCGTTTTAAAAAACAAAAATTTATGTGTCAAGAAAGTGTAAATTATAATGTATTTAGAAAGATACTGATACTTATTCCTTCCAGATGCTGGAAGGAAAGACCAAGATTGATTGATGAAGTCCAGGAAAAAGTTGCTGTAAGAAGAGAGCTTTATAACGATCAACAAAATTTTAGATACAATTTGTTACATAAGATTTTTTTTTTTTTTTTTTTTTTTTGTGTAAACGAGGGTTTCGCCAGTTAGTTCAGAATTAGAGAAACTTACAACAGGTCGTTTGTAGGACCTGCTTCCAAGTTTTCCAAATTCTGCCAGCGGCAAATGTAGGGTTTATATTTATTTTAACTAACATTTATTTAAGTTTTAAACTATCTTTCCTGTCAAGCCTTACTTTTCCCTGGAACTGCCAATGCCAGAATATGTAAATTTTTCAGTAGAACGCGCAAGCATTCAAATTATCAGCGGAAGTATTCTGATTTAAATAGAAGGAAAACGAGTTCGGTGTGTGATATTCTTACTTCACGAGCGCGGAGGTAGTTAGCGAGAAATTGAAGAACCCGCGTTTCGGCCTACGTGCTTGGCGGGAAGTAGTGTTAATCGTTTCAAGTGAGCTTCAAGTTCTGCTGAATTAGGAGCGGTGTTGTGAAACGCGGTGAGTTAGTTATTTTAGAGAGCCTCGTAGTTAGAATCTTGTCTTTAGTTTCTTTTCAGGTTATTATTTTTATTTGACCGCCAAGTAGGCGCAGTCTGTGAGCGTCAAGAGCACGCAATTGTAATTTATTACGTTGAATAAAAAGGGACTTAAACCCTTCACAAGATTCTGTATTTTATCCAGTTGTCACAGTCACCTCTTGGTTGCGTGCAAGTTGGAGGCGCGCAACATTACAAGTTCTACACCGATGGAATTATGAAGCTATCCAAAAAATGGCAAAATGTTATAGATAATAATGGTAAATATAAACTTGATTAAAACTGATTTTCAAGAATGAAAATTTTTGTTCAAAAATGTACCAAAAACCCACAGACTTTTATATTATTTATTAAATCTAGGGAAAAATATTGTATGGTTTACCAAATGGCAACACACTTGCTACAGGCTTCTTTTAAATTACTGAGATTGTGTATTAAAATGTACCAAAAACCCATGCACACTTTTTTTATTATTATTTATTAAACGTAGGAAAAATATTGTATGCTTTACCAAATGGCAACACACTAGCAAAAGGCTTCTTTTAAATCACTGAGATTGTGTATTAAATTACTAAATACTTAATGGTGATTGGCAATACATTGTTTTTAAATCACTGAATATTCTGATACAAATTGAAACATGAATATATTATGCTTTACAGAGTGGCAATATAATGATTTTAATGAACCCAGTTAGCATAATTTTATGGTTGATGTTAATAATTAATAATAAGAGATAGAAGAATTGCTTGTACAGCTTTGAAATTGTTTCTGTTAATCAATAACTTATTGAATATGAAAAAATTAATTAAATAGCTTATGCTTTACAAAGTAGCAACACATAACTTTTAGATCCTTGAGTTTCTTAAGAAAAGATTCAATAAATTTGCACAAAATATAAAAATAAATAAAAACATTTGAAATTCAAAATTCAGGTGAAAAAATCTGGTGGTGTATTGACATGCATGTTGAAAGTCTGGTGGCTCCAGGTGTTATCGTTTTTCAACAATGCTAGGAACATACATACACATATTTATTTACAAATAGATTCTTATTATTCAAGAATGAAGATTTCTGCTAGCCAGCAGCAAAGTCATAACAGCATACTATGTAATTTTATATACTTTTGATAAATGACTCAACATTATCCAATATACTTATTAATATAGTTTTGGTCAACACTTTTAATATACATATTAAAAAAAGACATTCTTTTTTTTAATCTCTGCCACGTATTTATTTTCTATATTATTTCAACTTCCAAAACATGACTAGAAGAGAAACACGCTAATGTGACAATCAAAATCGTAAAAAACAACCTTATATTTAGCGTAGGTATAATGAAACACTCAATCGATTTCGAGGGCAGCTAAAGGTCCCTCCTCATCAGGAGAAAGAATTACATAGAAAGAAAAAAATAGGAATCACAGAAACACGTGGTGCTTATCAGCACTGCACGCGGTTATAACTAGATTTTTAATCAGAGTTGCACTGGCCGCCTACTTTTACTGAGCCAGGCTGTCTGATCAAGCATAAAGAAATATTAAATTAAAGAAAATTAAAATTTTTTTTTTCTTTCTATGTAATTCTTTCTCCCTGATGAGGAGGGACCTTTAGCTGCCCTCGAAATCGATTGAGTGTTTCATTATACCTACGCTAAATATAAGGTTGTTTTTTACGATTTTGATTTCCAAAACATGGTTCTATACATACATCTCAAGAACCTAACCTCAATATTATCCCTATTTAATTCTCTTTTAATTCCAAAGCAAATATGTCAGCTTTATTTATATACAATGAACTATTTAATAAAATAAAAATTCTTTTTAGGTTAAAAGTTTAAAAGCTCATAAATATTTAACCAAATGTTTCCACTTTTGATACTATTCACATTTCTAGTATAGTATAGCCCTCTATGCACTCAAAACTCTTTTAATTTAGCAGTTTTACTATACAGATAAATATTAATAACAAAATGATTCAAGAAACTGCTTAATGAAATCAGTACATCATAACTTTTCTAACTTATAAAATTTCCTTGCAAATGCATAGCATTTTACACTTTGGGATTACATCATATTTTTAATGAAATCTTAAAAATTGTGAAATAATTTGCAGTCACAATAATCAAAATCATATGCGTGAAAGTCATTAATAGTGTAAAAACTTCAATGAGAATAGTAATTTTCCTCACTGTTCCATATTTGAAAAAGAAAAATTATATATAAGAGTAATTTTAAAAGAAAGCAAATAAATCTCACATAGATATTGATTTTATGCAAAAGCTCTATACATTTCGATGGAGTGAGTCAGGGTCTCTCTTCTTCAAGGTCTAAATCTATTTACTCTACTTAATTTTAGATATAACACTGAATTTTCCCTAAAATTTTAATTGACATACTTGGCACCTACCTACCAAAGCAGAGACCATTAACCAAGTCTAAAGAACTGGAAATAAATACATAAATTTCGGATATGCTTTAAAAAGAGAAATTGAAAATATATGTCTAATATGCAAGAATAAGTCTCGTAAATAAGAAATCTATTCTTACAAAAAAATCCGATTTGGAGAAAATGCTAAAAAATAAATACCTAAATGCTCTGCTTACTCTTAAAATACCAAATATTGAATTACAGGAGTGAGCAGAGTATGTGGGAAACAAAATACTTTTGTTTTCAAGCAGTGGTTTTATTTTTTAAATATTTTATTACATTGATTTATTTTGCTAAAAATTACGATCGGATACTTGAAAAAAAGTCTGTACTTTTTATAAATGTTATCAACATTTATAATATATAATTGTATTACATTAATTCGAAAAAGTTAATAAAAAAACTGCCTTTACACAAATAATTATACGTCCTCTTTTTATACATTTAGTGGTTGCAATTAAAAAATGCTTACTTCCAAAACGAATCCTTGCAGATATCTTCGGAAAATGCGGTTTAACAGAAATTTTCTTCGTGACGCTTGTAATCTTTAATTAAAATCACAATCGCATTTATTCCTTCCGTGTACTAACTCTGAAATCAGTATGCAATCCACAATGTTTTTTTATAACTGACAAAAACAATAGAACATAAGCAAAGAACCTGAATCATAATCATAATCCTAGGAACACAGTTCAACGATAATGAGCAGCTTTCTCCCGGAAGGAAGACGTCCAACTGAATATCCCACACAGAGGACGTGCTTGCTTGCTTGCTTACCTTCGACTACTCCACTGGGCAAAGGGGGAAATCGCAAAAATGCGATACGGATGGCAATTACTGCAGATTAGGATCGGCTGGCTCCTCAAAGAGCAGGAATTTTGTCGCTAATGTCGGTCAAAGAAAGCACCCCCCATACAAATGACAGGAGAGGACGGGCAGACGCATGGCTTGGAGAGCACTATTGTTATTTTCTGAAAGGTATATCATTCGCAAAACATTCCCCTGAATGTATCCATCTCCTCCCCCACAAGAAAGGGCAACTCTAGCTGTCAGAGATATACTTCCATTGTTTGCCTGTGTCAACAGGGTAAGTCTTTTACACCTCCCAAAAGGGTACCTACCGTTTACAGTTAGGGCGTTCTTTAAAATCTCAAGATGAAAGATAAAAATAGCCAATTTTTCGAAAGTTTAATGTTATATTTGCTCCACTATGAGAAAAGTAGCAATTTGAACTGATCGGCATTGTTTAGGCAACAATACTTTTCTACCCCTTTTAAGATAAAGGGGTAGAAAAGTATTGGTATTAAGATAAAGCTAAATATCAATCCAAATTTCCAAATCCAAAATTTATATATCAAATAATTATTTCATTCATTATGCATTTCAAGCAATTTTTGAAATATTATTAAACTTTATAACACTTAAATCGGTGCCTCTTTTTGTAATTGCGTACGTTATTCCAGTCGATTTTCAAACTCTGGTGATGTGTTTCCCAGCCTTTAGGGCGTTATCTTTCTAATGATTTCCATGATTCGTTAAAGTTTACTAACGTCAAGTAATTTAGTCGTAAAAATAACGTATTCTACTAACTCCCATATAATTAATCATGGAAATATTATATCAAAAGATCGAATAAAGCAAGAAAAGGTCACCATAAATATTTAAAAAAAATTTTTAAGCGGAGAATTTTGCAAAAGGCACTGCTTAAGCAGCATGTTATGCGACAGTAGTAAACAACATATTATGACAATCAACAGAACAATAACGTCAGAAATGCGGAGGAATGCATCGCGAGAAACCGACTATTCAACTGGAATATTATGCACTGTTAGGGAAGCCGTACTGAATTGCTTAATTCATAAGTTCAAGAAAAATAGAGCCATGTACACTAGTGTGTAGCTCAATTCATTTCTATGACAGAAAAGGCGAAGTTGGCTAGAACTGGAAAGGAGCATCGCTCAGAAATCTGCCCCCTCTTCCCAAGTGGGGAAGGGTACAACTTTAATTCTTTAAACTATAAATGTAACGGCAGAAAAAATTTTTGAAGCATTCATCAAGCCACGAGAAAAGAAAGGATATAAAAGCCACTTCGTACCATCCAATTTGGACTAATAAATCAGTAAATCATTTGGATGCAGCATCGGGTCACTAAACTGATTTTCTCGGCTGAACGCAAAAAAATTAAATTTGTTTTACATGTCTAATTTCTTGGATGCGAGAGCCAATCAAAAGACGCAGTTTTTATGAAGTTAATTATTCGGCTGAATGCCTGATCATTTCGAACGCCATATTCATTCACTTTTCAACGCTCAGTCTTTTTTCAGAATGCTTTTTTCCAGCGCTTTTTTTTTTTTTTTTTTTTTTTTTTTTAAGTAGATACTATATCACATACGTATACATCTAAACATTCAACATGAGTTATCACTGCAATGTGTCAGTTAAAAATGAGACACTGATAAAGAAAATAAAGATGTAGTTAATCTTAGTGAATCTGTCTCGCACGTCCTCGATAAAAGTGAAAAACATTTCGTTAAAAATAAATCAGCTCAAAACACACCCATAATTAACACCCTTCACAAATTAATATCTCATAGATCAATTAAAAAACATCAAAATAAAAATTGAACATTTATTTGCATCGGAAACTGAGAACAATCATACTTCTCCGAAGTGCTTAAAAACTTAGAACAATTACATGAATACATGCTCGAAATAATCAAATCGTTTCTACAAGATTCCATAAATGCTTCTGCTAACTAATAATACATTCAGAATTGCGAAAATAAAATTTAAATTTCATGAAACGAAATTTTGCTTTCTGGAAGTCATTTTGTTAACGGACTTATGCGTTCTTCATTTATACGTCTTTTACATTTCGATTTAATTTCGTTCCTGCCCCTATTCATTCACATGCATGCTAATAATATTTTCCTTAAGTTTAAAATCAAACGGCGCACCAGACAACATTTAAAAATGTGTTTTAATTTTAAAAAAAGAGAGAGAGAAAGTATAATTTGCATAAATGTTAGAAACTTCCTGAAAAAAGTGTTATTTATTCAAAATTAGCTCTTAAAATTCAGATATGAAAATTCAGATCTAAATTTAACACGTTGTTTTTAGTTTCAGCTTTTATAATCAGTTTTAGTTTTTAGTTTCAACTTTTATAATTCTAAAGAAGAAGCTTTTATACCACACTATTCTTCTAGGCTACAAGACAACACAGCATGCTGATAAACAAAATATCAGGCTCCTTTTCTTAAGAACGAACAATCCAAAGTCTTCGAAACTGTTTTGAGTGAACTGAAGTGAGTTTTTATCGATACCATTTACCTCCAGTTCAGATAAAAGTTTTTATCTTTTATGGCTTTTGGAGTGGGTGTCGGCACACCTTGACGATGAACATGAATCGGAACTATTATTCTTTAGAAAGGTTCAACGATTCGGGAGTATTTTATTTCTACAACCTGATCAAACACTTGAAAAGCTGCAATTTTACATAAACTTTTACATAAACTCCGCCCACTATACCAGATATGAACTGGAAACTACAAAACGTCACGAAATGATACCAAAGTTCGTCTTAAATTTAGCATTTAGGTCACTTTCAAGGAAAACTGCTAAAGCTACTGCATTTCGTAAAAAACTGAATTAATTTCTATTTAAAATAGGGAAGTAATTTTCGTTTCGATATCGACGATTCGATAGAAAAATCATGAATCTGTGAACACTCATAGAAATACAATGCGTGGAATCGATTTCAAATAAACTAGTAAACAGTTTAAAAATCAATCTCAGAAATTTTAAGTACAGAACATAAAATCAATTACTTAAACCAGAGCTTAAATTGCGCCGGTACTTCTTAGTTTTTGGGATAAATCATAATTCTAGACGGAGCGCACCGGAGCCCTAAATAAGAAGGCTCCGACACTTCTATGTAACTGAACAACAATTTCAGTACAAATCTGATCTCGAAAATTTTATTTTTAGCAATAAAATTACATTAAAAATCGCTTATTAAATTTTAACTTCTCTCTGCACATTTTATTCAAGTTTAATCATTTAATTACTTTAATCTTTATTAGTTAACTATTTTAATGAATAGCAATTAATAAATTGAACAATAAAATAACCGATTATTAATATTAATTTAATCATTATTAATTAATTTGGTAAATTAAATTATTAATGCTGCCCCTTTTATTTATTCATTTACTCTTGTTCCTCTTTCCTGATTTCTTGCCTAGTGTTCCGGCACTTTTAATTTTAGAAATTAAGCCCTTAAACTCAGGTGTTTATTCCAAAGCACCGTGTCAAAGGATAGCTCAGTTAATCACTGGCCCAGCGGATAGAGTCACTAAACAATGGGTAGTTCCGTCTGAATAAGCGTTTCTGTGGTTTTCCCGTGTCCGATGTTTTTCTTTAAATAATCCTCCACGAAGGCGTTTTTTCTCTTAGGAAGACGGTCCTCCTGTATTTTTACTATATTTTATATTTAAACAATTCAATCAAATGAAAAAAAAAAAAAAAAAAAATCTGAAAGCTTTCAGATTTTATATTACGCCCAAAGAGGCCTTTTTTTAACGTTTTATGTTATTTATTAAATATTATATTCTTCGCACTTAAACTATAAAATTCAATTTAACAGCAATATCACAAAATTTTTAAAAGCATATCTTTAGAATTTCCGATATGCCGCGCTGGAGATAAATCCCCCCCCCGTACAGTGTTGCCATTGCTCGCTTTGAAATCGTTGAGTTTCTTAATCTAAATCTCATAAATGCTTTACAAAATACGAAATTGATAATAAAAGAAATTCAAAATTTGAGCTTCCAGATGCCCATATTCGGGTGGAGTAGTATATTATTCAAAATTTGATGGCTCTAGGTATCGTTGCTTTATCACAATGAGAGAAACATACATACATTTATGCAGATTCTTCATTATTTAATTTCTTTAAATATAATACAGGGCGCTAATATTTGGTGACAACAATTTAAAAAGTATTTCGCCGTTTATAGTGAATCAACGCAAAATGCCCCTTTGGGCTAATAAAGGGAAAAACTTGCTATAATGAAATTCTAAGTAAAGCCACATAAAGACATTTGCCACCTATTTAATAAAGAAGTATTTTATTATTCAAGACATAGCGTATTTTTTACTTCGCTAGATTGTTGCGCATTGGGTTATTTCCTGCAAGTAAAATGGAAATAACTTTTAATCTGCAAAAAACTACATTCGCTTAGTGTAAACAATAGCATTTTCTCCGAAGTGTTAAAAAAACTTTTAATATAGCAAGATTTCAAGAAAAGATTTATGTAAATTGCGAACAGAAATGCAAAAATAAAGTTTCAGGAATTATATACAAACATTTCGAGGTGCAAAAACAGATAACATCATCGATATCTTTACAGAATAAAAATTTAAAACCGAAATACTTAATAAATCTTTGACGTTCATAATATATTTAAAAGATAGGAACTGAAATACAACCTCGGGTGTTTTCCCTTCTCTTCCTTTTTTTCTCATAACATGAAGACTTCTTCCCCTCAAAAAAAAAATATCAATATTTTTTAATCATAGCACTTAAAGAGAAATTTTATGCACATATGAGTTGCAAAACAATAACAACAACACTTGCAGATTCTTGCATAACAACAATATGAAAAGATATATTTCCTGTTTCATTTTTTAAAATAATGCGTCTCTCTTTACCGAAGCGTTAAGGTTTTTCAGATAAATATCAGCATTTCCTCC